TGTAAACTGACAAACTTCTGAAGTCTGAAATCTGAATCAGTCAGACTGTTTGTTTTTACGTCTGAAATCTAAAATCTGAATCAATAAGACTGTTTGTTTTTGTAAACTGACAAACTTCTGAAGTCTGAAATCTGAATCAATTCATTTCAATTAAATTTAACTGAAATATCTAATCATTTAAATCATTTGTAAACTACCATATACTTTTAACACATTCAAAAATACGTCAATTGGTTCAAAACACAATAGAAAACACGAATAAAGTCTCATAACAACTAGAATCAATATTCATTTTGTAATTGTGTCACAATTTCTTCTTTTAAACTAGAATCAATATTCATTTTGTTTTCCGTCTACAGCACGACCAATCAGCAGCTGCTTTGCTGCTTTTCTTCCGTCTGCTGCACGAGTAAACAGCAGCTACTCGCTGCCTGATCTCCTGCTGCTGCACGAGCAAAACAGCAGCTACTCGCTGCTTGATCTTCCGCTGCTGCACAAGCCAAAACAGCAGCTCGTTCCCGTCTGATGTGCGACCAAACGGCAGCTGCCAAACAACAACCGTTCCCGTCCGATGCGCGACCAAACAGCAGTTGTTTGCTGCTTCTTTTCCGTCGACCAACGACCCAACAGCAGCCGCTGTATCTGTCTTCAACCAGCATCTACCAACTGCTTCTTCGTGAGCCAAACAGTCCCTCTGCGCGCGGCCAAACAGCATAAACAGCAGCTTCGCCGTCAACTACGACCAAACAACAGCTGTAGTTGTTGGGTTTGAAATCAAATAACATACAATGTTGATATGCACGATACTCTGTAGGATTAACAGACCAAATAAAAAAAACCCCTTATAGGATTAACACATTAGTCCTAATTGATATGCACAAACACAATGTTGCTCCAAATTCTGCAGCGCTCAATAGAGATGCTTTGGCCAAAATAGTTTATWCAAGATTATTTGATTGGTAGGTTTGATCAAAATGGAGGATTGTTATTGTATGCTTATATTTTTCTTTTGGGTTTGTAGCTCAAGGTCTTTCTTGCATTACCCAGGCTTGTGAGCAAGATTAATAACTCTATTGGTCAAGATGCAAACTCAAAATTCTTGATTGGGCTTCTGGGTATTTATGAATACGATACTTGAAAAGCCAAAAAGTAGTGCTTAAAATTCCAAAACTGACCTTGTCATGTCAATTTAATGCAGCATGTTTCCAAGATCCACGCACAGCACCTTTGCTGAAAAGCTTTACCAGAYGTTCAAAGACCATAAAYGTTTTAACAAGCCAAAGCTATCAAAGACAGACTTCACCATTTGCCATTATGCTGGTGATGTACGCATATCTATTTTCTTATATTGATTTGTATAACTGAATGGGGTAAATATCTGAAGTTGTTAAATCCACTTATGCCTAGAAAAGCTGCAATTTGTTTGATATCATTTATTTGAAGAAGTCTGGTTTCAGGTTACATATCAAACCGACTTGTTCTTGGATAAGAACAAGGACTATGTTGTTGCGGAGCATCAGGAACTCTTGACTGCTTCAAAGTGTTCCTTTGTAGCAAGCTTATTTCCACCTCTTCCACAAGATTCATCCAAAGCTTCAAAGTTTTCATCAATAGGTTCCAAGTTCAAGGTCTGTTCATTCACTGTAGAGATTACGACGAGTAACATAAAGAAGAATAACATAAATCCATGTATATATATGAAGCAAGAGGTAGAAATTGACATATTTGTTGAAGATTTTAGGTTAGCAGATCGAGATCAACAGCGATTTGGCGATTGATTGCGTGAGAGGGCTAGAGAGAGATCGATTGCGTGAGAGAGATCGAGATCGAGAGCTTGAAATCTGAATCGAGGGCTTGAGCAACTGCGAGAGAGATCGAGATCGAGAGCTTGAAATCGAGATCGAGAGCTTGAAATCTGAATCGAGGGCTTGAAATCTGAATCGAGGGCTTGAGCAACTGCGAGAGAGATCGAGATCGAGAGCTTGAAATCGAGATCGAGAGCTTGAAATCTGAATCGAGGGCTTGAAATCTGAATCGAGGGCTTGAGCAACTGCGAGAGATCGAGAGCTTGAAATCTGAATCGAGGGCTTGAGAGTGTACAGGGGCGACGATGGAGAGGTTAGAGCGACGAGGTAGGGAAATCCAAATAAGAGGTGTTTCAGACTTTAATTTACATCTAACCGATTCAGACAAAATGATACAAATTCAGCTCTTAATTGAAAGAAAAAACAAACGCACTTAATACCTCAAGGTCTGACCGATTCAGACATAAGAGGTATTAAGTGCTTTTTTTTGAAAAACAAACACCCCAACAAAATGATTATTTTTTAGATTTTTTTTACCATAAAAATGGCCCCTAGAGGGCAAATTACTTTATTGGGGGTGATAATGCATAATCAGGTTCGGATGGAACCTACATGCACCATTTAAGTGACAAAAAATTGATTTTCTAAGATTTTTTCATGGAAATCGCCCTTCCATGCAAATCGCTCCTCGTGGGCGATTTTGACTGCTATTTTGTGTTGTAGTGAAGACATTCTATGACCCAATTTTATTGTTTGATTTGACACATCAATGACGATGTAACAATACATTGGGGGCGATTTTGACATTTTTTTTGGTCTTATTTGGGACAATTTTGTATAAAAATGTCTAGAGGGGACCATATTTATCCAAAATCTACAACCACATATACCACCATGTACCACCACTGATCACTGTGAACATCCACCATACACCGACGTCCACCACCGTCTGCCGACATCTTCCACAGTAGATCGTATATCGACATCCACCACCAACTGCCGACATCTACCATCGTCCACCAACATCCACCACCGTAGACGACGTCCACCACCATCTGCCGCCACCGTTATATATCATGGAACCACCTGTAAGAAATCGTATTTTTTTTTATTTTAACTTAATAATATATTTTTGTCTTATATTTAACTTAATAATCTATTTTTTTCTTTTCGTTTAGATTATTTTTACATAACATTTAATTTGTGATTTTTTAATAGGCATTCTATCAAAGTTTAGTGAAATTTAGGGCCCAAATATAAAGAGTGTCAAATTTGCGATATATTTTGATGAACGACGTTTTGGAACATCACCTCATGATTGCCGTCGTCCTCTAGCTCAAATAACTCACAACTCAAAGAATTTTCATAAAATAACCTAAAACGACTACGTAAACTTAACTTTCTTGCAACACATTTAATCAAATCACAATGTGTTATTGGCGAAGGCAAAAGTAATATACGTTTCGGTGCTGGTAAATGCATATATTTTATAACACCATTTATCGTCTGGAACGAACCGCCACTTTAAACATACTCGGAAGTCGGAACTATTATCACTTTGACGTGATTTCATATTTGTGCTAAAGACTGTGATGGTAGATTATGGTTAAAGGTAGAATACTACAAGAGTTATATATATATATATATATATATACTATATTTGGTCCTAAAAAAGAAAAAATACCAATGAAGATCGCCCTCTATGTCTAGCCACATCATCATTGAGTTGTCAAATTAACAAAAAAATTATGTCATAGAATGTCTCCACTACAGAACAAAATAGAGATCAAAATTGCCCCTAGAGCGATTTGCATGAGATCCTAAACCTTAAAAAAATCAGATTTTTGTCCCCCCAAATGATATACATGTGGGACTCATCCGTACCTCAAATCACAATATCGCCCCCAAAAAGTAAAATCTCTCACCATGGGCGATTTTCGTGGTCATTTTGTGAAAAAAGTATAAAATGTGGTCATTTTGTTAGTGTACAATGTATAAAGTAGTCATTTTGAGTAATTTCCCTTTCAAAATCCCATATTTGTGGTATTTCAAATACAAGTAATCCTTCAAACCAAATATGAAATTGGAATAGAATTCAATTTCTAAATTTTCCCTAAATCTTATTTATTTCTACAGATCAAACGGGACCTTAACAATTTAATCCTATTAGATTAACTTTATAGGAAAACCTCAATTTATGTGTCCAATAAATATTAGATATAAAGTTAATCTAATTAATAACTTAATCCTATTAAATTATGAAGAAGATATTAATGATTAGACACTTTAATTGGTCTCCTTTGTTCTACGTTTGCAACTCATTGATACTTTATCATGTTGACAATAATTATAAATTATATTTATAATTATAAACGTATAGCGATATCGAGTAATTCATCATCTTTACTTAAATAATCAGTGTTCACGTTGTGTCCATTTATCCTTGGTGTCTAATTAGGACACAAGGCATGGTTTGTGTCATCCAGTTATTTCCAATCCATAGTTTCTTAATTCCCTATTATACTGATAAAATACTTTATAAACCAAATTTATCAAAAGTTTTAAAAACAACTCATAATGCATTAAGTACTACTACTTTATCATTCAGTCTTAAAATTTCTTAATCTACAATTAAAATAACATATAGTACAAGTTACCATTGCACATTATTATTTTTTCTTTTTATGTTCCCAAGATACTTTTGACACATTTCACTCATGACTTCACCCTCTCATACCTCTATGTCTTCTACCCATCCCCCAAGGTGAAATTAAATTGATATTCACCATGAGTTATTAAATTTTTTCTCATTCATCTCTCATCAAATTGCTCTATAACTCTTTGTTCTATGCTCTTGGTATAAATCGAAACACATTTGTGAAGTCGTTTAAATATATTGGATTCTAAATATATTGGATTTTAAACTGTCATACAAATTTTTCATCGATTGACGGTAATTGGAACCATAACTCTTATTTATTCAAATTATATTAATATGTAAAGACCAAGTGTAACTTATATCATCGTTAAATCTTCTCTAACAAAACCAATGAAACTTCAAAATCGTTAAAATTCACGGTTCCCACCGCATTGCACGGGTACACAACTAGTATAACGATAAAACAAATACATAGACATATAAAAGCGAAATCTTAAACTTAATCCAAGCAACTGCACTCTCAAAAGATAAATGGGTTCATTTTCATAAATCTCAAAAGGGATGGAATACATAAGAAAATTGAAAGTAATACAGCCTCAACCAAAATTTTAGGGAAAACAATTCCAACACAGCTTTTCCTGCAAATCTTAATCACAAATTACAACAATTATACACCACACCACCCACCATCCCTATAAACCCTTAAAAATTGAAGTAATCAAACCAAGATCAGGCACAAAAAATGGCCTTTCCCATGATATTATACTATGATACATAGACCAGATTCAACTCAAGTGGCCTCAAAGCTTCTTGAACGATCTCTTGGACCGTGCGATTGCGTCGGCAAACCTCTGACAGCTCTTCGATTGGAACTGTTAATCCTTTGATATCTGCACCGGATGCTGCATCTGACAATGCCTGTAAAAATCTTGATTTTTCCATGTCTGTGGCAGCAGAAACTGGAATTAAAGACACGCTCTCCTTAGCCCATTCTAGAGCGTTTGCTCCATATGCTCGTGATAGTGCTAGCAGAGCATATGCCACCTGTTACAAAACGACCGAACAAATACACATTTAGGAGAGATTTTGCAACATCTATGTGTAGATGAAGAGTTAGACTAGGTCTTCCTACATTGGTTACGGTTTTTTTGAATGTTGTTTCTTATTTCTGAGACGTTTTGCAACTTTTAGCACCGCTTTTCTTTTTTTCAAGTTCTTATTTTTCTATTTCCAATTCTTTTAGCAAGCTTTATCATTTCTATTCACACACCTTGCATACTGGGTTTGTTTGGTCTGGTTTTATGCGTAAATGAAGGGATCTATTTGCACTTATGCTGCATGTAAGCATGTGGGAGGTCTTACCGTTTCTAATCTTGAACTTGGGAGAGCCCCGGTTGAAGCAGCAACCAAGATTCTAGTAATGCTGGCACCTCGAGGGACAATAACACTATCCCTGATAGAAATGAATTGCTGTCCCTGACTAGATCTTCCCAGATCAAATATATCGGATAAGAAACTTAGGATAGAATTTGACGCTTCCCTGCATGGGTCAAACAAGACTTGTTATTTATCTCATCATCCAGCTAAGCAGAAGCTTCACGAAATATATTTGCATATGACAAAGATGGATATCCAGGATAGGAGAAAAATTACACAACGTGCTTGTCAATAAAATACGGTTTTTTTTTGCCAAAATGGCATCAATCAGTCGGTTAAAATCCCATATATTTTGCACGAATATAAGATCAACCGGCTACATGCTTAAGCTTAACCCCTCAGCATAACCATAATATGCCCGAATTCAAAATTAAAACAATTTTGGGGTAAGTTAGAAGCGCTATGTGACAAGAATATTCTTAAGTAAGAAATGAGATTTCATTAATTAATTAGAGGCAAAAGAAGTAGAGGCTGATGAGAAAAAGATTCTTTTGTTGAAGTCCATTCTAAAGAGATTGTCGCATATGCTATATTTGATGTTTTAGTACTTAATTTAGAAGAATACAACACCTAGTGTTTCAATTTAAAGCACGTTGTGAAAAGCTAAAAACAAATGAAAAAGAATGACGGTGAGAGATGGATTAACCTGTGCTGCACTGTGATTCCTATCATGGAGCATTCAACCAATGATGGGAATACTGGAGATGGGAAAAGCAAATGCGGGCAATAGCGAATGCATCTTGACGCCAACAAAAAACAATCATCTGCTATATCTGGCCTGGAAGTGAAGTCCTAAAGATTCGATGCTTATAATTAAACCAACATAAAGAAATAATTCCATATGAGGGATGGCAAGTATTACATTACAGCTGCTAAAGTCATACCTGAATTTTTGTAAGCAAACACGCTGTATTGCTAAATAGAGATTCGATCAACACTTTTAAGTAATCCGCACAAGAAGGATCAGACCCAAATATCTGCACCACAATCTCCAATTATTTCTCTTTCATTGATTAGGGTTGAAACTTTGAGGGTGAAACCATACCTTCATAACCTCACTAGAGAGATATAAGAAACATGGTTGGTGGTGTTGTTTATATAACCCTTGTATCTCCTCAAGCATAGCTCCAATTGTAACTCCCATGAACCTTTTAGATGTTCTCACCTTCAAAACAATTAATTATGCAAATCATTAGCAAGACAACAAATAGAACTTAATAAAGCATATAGACTCGAACTCACAGCATGTTTACAGGCTCGGCAGAGTGATTCCATTGTCCGCATATCCCAAGCACGGCTGTATCAGCATTCATAATTTGTATTCAGAAACTGGCGTAAGCCATCCACATGGGTAACCAATGACAAATACTTACGTATCAAAGATGGCTTTGAAAAGTGGCCAAAGTCTTTGAATTGCATCAGCAACAGCTTCTGGATTATTTACATACCTGCACGTTGATTTATTATTCTGAAACATTAGAACCCCTGAATAAACATAAATCAGGGACTGGAGCAAGGAAATCATTCGTGTACCTAAATATATTTGCAAGTCGATCAATATGAACAGTGATTTCACGAGCAGGTTTTTGACCCAATACCAAAGGACCTTGATTAATCACTTCCTGCTTGTAGACATGTAAGTCAGTATGGCAAAACTATTGTTCTCTCTGTTCACTTATTCCTAGATTAGCCAAACCTGTAAAGGTGCAACAGCAGGTATGCAAAGTGCCTCGAGGGCTTTCTTAGCCTGGTCTGGAGGAAGCTCAGTGATAACTATACTGCAACAAAAGATTTATGAGAATTTCCCACACAAGTGATTAAGCTTTTGCAGGATTGTAGTTGTACCTTAAGGCTTCAACAAGATGCAAAGAATCTTGAGCCGCAACTTTAAAAGAACCTTCCCCAGTCATTGCCCTTTGGTATATTTGGAAAAGACCATCTAGAGATCCACGGAGCTTTTTCCCACAGTCTAAAACAATAGCATGAATCTTTGTTATCTCCAATAAGGACAGAATCAGGATGTTACAATGCAGTACTTCGGATATAAAGGAAGTTGATAACTAATACTTTTTCAAGTTAAAAAAAGTCACTAGGAAGCAATATCAAAACTGAAACACCCATCTTTGAGATGTTTATATAACAAGGTTGAAACCAATACTTATAGATAATCTTAGGGGGGCAGTTGTAATAAACGTTGGTAGCTCAATCCTAATTCCATGTTGGAAGAACACAGTGTCTTTTGGTGTTTTAGGATACAGACTTCATGTGTACATTGGTCAGCCCCAACTATTTAGTGTGTAAAGTTGGACTACTTGTTTCAGTACATATGAACATCCAAAGGGATGTCAAGGCAGACATTGACAGAAGAGAGGCAGCAGGATCTACACAAATTCATATGGACACTCTCCGAATCAGTCCACTTACAAAAAACATTCACCTTAAAAGGCATCCGATTACCATTTTGATTAAATCGTGAAACTAGAACAGTTTAAAACAGAACAAAAAATGACTATATGGATTGACCAGTGTAGCAACATATATCGATCTGTGATAATACTGGAACAAGCAATTAAGAGTAGAAGTATACCAGCTATAAGATAAAAGAAGATAGGCAAACATTCCTAATGATGTATAGCAAAAATGGAGAAGACAAGATTATACAAGTGAACAGAGCATACCATCACAGATGTGTCTGAAAGCCAAGGCAGCAGCTGCTGCAGAATCTTCAGACATACTCATTCCACTAATAAGAATATCAATGACTGAAGGCAGAAAAGAGAGTCCACTTTGTGCAGCATCAAGCCATTTAGAATAAGCTCCTACAGTCAAGCATACTGCAAAAAGAAAGATAAAGAATTGAGGCTATGTTAAGTAGTTCACTTGAGATGTTTTCAAGATGTTCGGACGTTAGGGTAACAAAACCACCAAGAGTTATAGCAGTCATCTTTTGGTTCCTTTTAGAAGGCGGCTCCAGGAATTAAAAATGGCATTCTGTTACGAAATAATAATGTATATAACCTGTCTGAAGTAATAGTGATTGATGAGGAAGTTTCGGAAGCAATGACATAATCTGTCCACACCAAACAAACAAGTAAAAATGGATAAGTGAAAAAGTTAGACATACACTCTGTGCAAACAAATGTACAGCAGAGAAAACCATGATATATATGCATTGAGAAGTCAAAATATTGCACAACCAAGACATTTTCCAATCTTCAGTTGAGGTTAAAAACAACACCAGGTCAAAGAAGTAATCACATTGTAGCTCTATAACTCTACCTGGGGCATAACTTCTGCTTCGGTTAAGGGAACAAGATCTGATATGGCCCTGATGCAATATAGTGCAGCCTCTGAAGGTCGCCAATCCATCATATCACCATTTTGGTGCCCACTTAGAGCCTGAAAATTTTACAGCGATGCATTTAGAACTAAATAATAACTCAATATGAAAACTTAGATCTCCTGCAAATTTCAATTCAGATGCCCTCTTATCCATTAAAGGGTTGTACACTTCAGGTTCCCATTTTCTTCTGAAAAACATCTTTAAATTTTCTTTCCCCTTCATAGTCTTTTGTAAAATTGTCACTGTCCCATAGATTAGTGGGTCTTCTTTTTCCCTTCTAAATTAATAAGTAGCCCCAATGCTAAAACAAGAGAATTCAATTAAAAGAAGTGCATGTTTGATCATCCCTTTTATTTATAGAAAGTGGATATCTGGACAGTAAGGAGAAGCATAAAATAAGTGGTTACTTTATCTATACTATATTACAAAGCATTTGACAAAAACTCTTAAAAACCACTTTTTATGCGTAAAGTACTGTTTATTAATGCATATTACTTAAAATTCAAGATTACAAGTAGATTGTGCGTAAGTACAACTTATTAAAGCTCTATATCTGAATTCGTGTAACTAACTGCAGATAAACATAATCAAATACAGGATAAACATCTCATTTTAAATATGAAAAATCTAAAATATAATTAGGATAATCAATGATTCTAATAGAATACTTAATTATTATCTTTATAAAATTTATAATATTAAACCAAAAATAAATTATTTCATTATTAAACTTAAATTWAATTATAATAAAAGAATAAATTAAAGAAATTACATAAAAAATAGGACTTTTAAATAGTTGATTTAATACTAATTTCGCTTACTTTTTAAATAATTTATAATATTTCATTCAAAATTAAAAAAAAATTATTTTTTTCTCAAAACCACATAAAATCGCATTATAACATCGATAGAGCCAAAATATAAAATGAAACATTAAAATCAAGATGTATCTCGCTGCATTGCACGAGTACCATTCTAGTAGGAACCAAATATTGAAAGACAAAATAAGTGGTTACTTTATAGGAACCAAATACTGAAAGCCGTATTGCATAAACTTCTACTTTATCCTCGGTCACTTTCAACAAGGCAGGTGGAGGCGGCTCTTGGGGCGTTTGGTTCACAGAATGGAATTTGGTGGAATTGGAATCCCTCAAAGGAATTTGACTTTGAAGGAACTGGAATGGAATTTGACCACGCGTTTGGTTGGTAGGAATTGGAATGGAATCTCTCAAAAGGATTGGAATCTCCTTCTTTGCTGGTAGGGATTTGAACCCTTGTTGTCTCCATGAAAGAGAGAAGTCGTGAAAGCACTAGACCATAGGGGCCGATGGTCATCATAAAAAGAACAGAGAATCTAATAGGTGCACAGTGGCAGCCCCGTTAGGAGATGAATAGGATCAGAGCGAAAGACTCGTTAACTATTATGGGGGTTAATGGTAATCAAACTCTCTTGAAACTTGGAAGAGAGAAAGACGAGAATGACCAATGAGATCAAGTTTCAAAATCGAACCCAAAAACAATGGTTGAGAACCATCTTTCTTCTTTCCTTATCAAGGATTTTATGATCGGATTTGCAATCATCAACCAAATGATTATTTTGGGTGTAATTATATTCTGCCCTAAGTAAGACTGTCAAGAACACGGACATGACCGGACATGTTTAGGTATTTTTGCACGTGTTTAACGTTTAATAAATACAAATTCAAAAGGTTTATGGTATTCAATATTCAAGAAGATTAGGATATCAGTAATGGTTATACACTATAATATAAGAAACTGAATCAGTTTTGATATTCTAAAAAAATCACAAAACATAGTAAGCCTGGGGGGAATTCTGTTTCTAGGATGTTCAATCAATTCCGTTCCATTCACATCCCTTAAAAATGCCAATTTAAGTGAAATTTTTAGTACACCTATCTCATATTCCAGTCACAGATTCATAGTATTAAAATTTCATCATTGTTAGATCTATAGGATTTGATTTGATAGATAACGAGCCAACCAAAATGGTATTTATTTGCTTTTTTGGAGAATTTGTACGAATGAGTATAAATCACCACCAATTTCAAAACAACTCGGGATAGACGCAATGTTCACAATACTTGGAATTAATCAAAATACAATTTAAGGAATTTGTAGGCTCATTGATCAAGGTTTGACAAAAGAACTATCTAAGTTTCCAAATATTGAAGATACAAATCAAGAAATTGACTTTCAAGTTTTTCTCGAAAGATATCAACCAGTAGAATCCTCATATATGAATCAAACACATATTCTTCTAAACTATATGTACCCATGACTAATTTGGAAAAACAATAGGCGTAGGTACATCCAAGAAAAAAACAATTTTGATAGGAGAGATCCCTCTGATGACTTCTCTCGGAGCTTTTATAATAAAAGGTTAGAATTGAACAATAACGAAATTTCGGTCTACACCCAACACCGTAACATCAGATAGGGGAGAAATATTAGAATTAGAGATTGATAGAAAAGCAAGGATAAGGGTTCGTTTGAGTAGGCAACAGAACTTTCTATTCTAGTTCTATTATTGGCTATGGGTTTGAACATAAAGAAAATTCTAGAGAATGTTTCCTATCCTAAACTATTTTTGTCTTTTCTAAATGATAAAAAAAGAGTCAAAATAAAATGCTATTTTGGAGATTTATCAAGAATTTACTTGTATAGAGAGAGAGATTCAGTTTTCCAAATCCATATCTAAGTACCAAAGAAGTCTTCCAACAAGATGTGATTGGTCGATGAAATATGAATTAGAGATTGACCTTGGCCTTGATATACCCTAGAATAACACATTTTTGTTAATGCAAGCAAATTAGAAGCCACACATCAGTTGATTCGAATAATAATTAGGGATGGACACACTTGATGGTTCAATTTTTTTAAGAATAGGTGTACTCATACCGTATCAATTTGGATTGGCGTTGGTTCGTTTAGAAAAATGGCTCGAGGAAACATGTACGCAGCACTTAAGCACAACTAGAGGGCAACTCCTCTGAACATGGAAATTCAACTCAATTCATGGTTACATATAAAGCTTTTTTCCATTTAAATCCATCACTCAAGTTTTGGATCGAACTAATCCTTTGACACAAAAAGTTCATGGGCCGCACGGGATTGACCGCACAAAGTGCTACTTTGCCAATGTGAGCTATTCATCCTAGTAATTGTGGGTGTATGTGTCCAATTGACACATCCAAAGGATAAATGTTGGTCTTGTTAGATCCGTAGCAATTCATGTGAGGATTGGTTGTTGGAGGTCTCTTAAAAGTCCGTTTTATAAAATTTATCCAAAAGGACAAAAATATGCTTTATTTATCACCAGGTAGAGTCGAATACTACATGGATTCTCACAGATGATTGAACAGCCTCGAGGAAAAAAACATGTTGGTTGTAACTGGATTTTCACAATCAAATAATGCAAGTTAGATGAAAGTATTAACATGTTCAAAGCTAGGTTGGTAGCCAAGGAATTCACTCAATCATACGATATTGATTATCAAAAAACCTTCGCTTCGGTCTCAGCACTCCATACTATAGTTCTGATACCATGGGCCACTGTAGTCGTTGGACGTGAAGACCACCTCTTTAAATAGTGATCTAGAAGATGTTTACATGGAAATTTATCTAGGATGGAAAATCTTTCCAATGACAGGCTAGTGTGTATACTGAAAAAGTCATTGTACGACCTAAAGCGATCTTCTTGAGCTTGGTTTGACAAATTTATTAAGATAATTGCAGGATATGGATATACTCTGAACTTAAGATCAAGGATTGAAGGATGGTTTGTCTCATCTCAAAAAAGTATGTTCTAGACTTGCTAAAAGAAACCAGGATTCTTGGGAGCATGCTTGCAGAAACTCCTGTGGACCCCAATCTAAGGATAATCCAAAGTGGGGTAACATTCTAGCAGAGAAAAGGAAAATCAAAGATTAGTTGGAAAACTAATTTATCTTTGCCATACCAAACCTGACATTTTGCATTTTTTGCGGTATAGTAAGTCAGCATATGCACAACCAACAAGGAACTTTTAAAAAGGTGTACCAGAATCTATGAAACCTAAAATGACTTGTTGTCTTGGGTTGTACTTCACAAGGTATGAAAACAGTGATATGGAAGTCTTAATTAGATTCAAGTTGCGTTGAAGAGGTATATGATCAAAGATCGACTAAGGAAATTGATTACTTGGCAAAGCAAAACAAGCAGTAACGTCCAGAAGCAGACTTATCGTTAAAGAAACCGAGAGTTAAAGCTTCTGAATTCATAAAGATGTACTGTGATAACCAGGCAACTATACATATTTCCAGTAATCCTATTCATGATGACATAACAAAACATATGGTGATTGACAGACATTTCATTTCTGAAAAGATGAACGGAATCATACAACATAGCAACATTTCTACTCGGATGCAGATTGCAGATATTCTAATTAAGTCTCTCCCAATAACCAACCTTGAAGTATTCAATTCCAAGCTAGAGTTGTGCAACATATACAACTCAACTTGCGGGGGAGTGTTGAAATAATTCTTATAGTTTTTAGTATTCTTCTATTTAATTTAATTTATTTTATTGTTTTATTGTTATTCTATGCCCTTAATATCAAAGAATTAGTGGTTGGATTTAGAAGATATATATATATATATATATACACACATATATATATAGGGCTTGTTCTACATTTTATTCAATGAAAATATGAGAATTGGTTTTTCTACATTATTTGAATTAAATCAATGAACCCTAAGAGAAGGTGTTCGGTTCGCAGAATGGAATTTGGTGGAATTGGAATCCATCAAAGGAATTTGACTTTGCAGGAATTGGAATGGAATTTGACCTCGTGTTTGGTTCGATGGAATTGGAATGGGATCTCTCAAAAGAATTGGAATCTCCATCTTTGTTTGGAGAGGGAGTGGGGTGGCAGCTGTGATGATGGCAGTAGTGGCTTGGTGGGCCCCCACAGCCCACCCCGACCCCACTACCCACAGGGTGGGTGGTTTTGGGGTAGTTGTTGTGACGACGACAATAGTGGAAGGTGGTTGGTTGGGGGTGAGGTGGTAGCTATGACTACGACAATAGTGGCATGTTGGTTCGTGAGGTGGGGCTGGGGAGGGTTGGGGGTGGGGGTGGTAGTTGTGATGACGACAGCAATGGCATGGTGGTTGATGGGGTGGGGGTGGGGGGCGGTAGCTATGACGACGACAGTAGTGGCATGGTAGTCGGATGGCAGGGAGGTGACGCTAGGCAGGGTGGTTGTGGGTGGGTAGGGGTGGCAGTTGTGACAAGGACAGTAGTTGTTATAATGTTTGCAGTAGTGGTGTGGTGGTGGGGGKGGGGGAAGGGGCGGGGGCGTGACAATGAGAGTAGTAGCATGATCGTGGTTGGGCAAGGGTGGGCGGTGTTGGTTAAATTGGATGCAAAGAGATGGAATTCAATTCCTTCACTTATGTCAAGGAATGATGAATTCTATAGTTTCCGGAATTCAAAGAATCCCAACATTTTCATTATGTGAACCAAACATAGGTTTTGGAATTTGGTCAAAAGAATTCTCCATTCCAATTCCTTCAAAATCCATTCAAAATCCATGAACCAAACACCCCCTAAGCATACAGAAGAGAGAGTGAATATAAGATACGTTAACATGAACATTTAACATAATGAAAGCAGGTAATATTGTACCTCAACAAGCTTCACGTACAGAATCTTAAGTGTTGGTTCACCTCCTAAAACTAATGCCGCATCAATTAAGACATCCGCGACAGCTACAAGTCAAATAATGTGTTAGTACGATACAGGAAGATGCTTCAAGGATAGTGATCAGAAAGTAAAAAGCGCATGCAAAAATGACAAAGGTCATAATGTTAGAGTTCCTAGAAAGGTGAACCCACATTTATGATCAGCAATATGATCATAAATGACAAAGCTTTTGCTTATGATGTCATACCCACAACAAAATTAATGACTGGGGGATAACTTAGATGAACCCACATTTATGATCGACACATTGAAGGTTCCTTTTCTCAAGGAGCTCCTATTGTGCACCTACATCACACACATTCGTCTCTCCAGACCGTCTGCTTCAACCTAATCACCCTCAATTCCAAGAGAAGTGGCTGGGTTTAAGCAAGCGTCAAGTCAAAACTTGACACAGGCGCAACAACTAGAAATTTTGCAACTCTCAAGCAAGCAGATGAGAAAAATAAACATCCCATGCATTACGGACCACCATAAATGATCCAGCTGATAAGAAGGCTTCATAAACAATACCATCTCATGATGTTTATGCCAGCACCAGTAGTCAATGATTGCATTGGCCAGAAAAAAAAAATCTACTTCCAACTTGAGCATAGAGCATACAAGAAATCAAAGCCTGTTGTCAAGGATCATCACCACCACCAAGTAATGCAGAATCCCAGAATATGTGTTATTTATGTCCAAGTCTTAGTATGCCTCCTGCAGATGGTTTGTTCTAAAAACTCTCTTTATTACTCATAAGCATCAACCAACCATTATTTACTTGTTAGCAATTTTTACCTTTAACAACTCAGAACTTATGTGAGCATTTTGGTCTATCATTTCATAAAACTTACTAGTTCTAATCTAACATTTATCCTCATCAAAAAAACTTAAACAAGTGACTCATTGGAAGCCTTATGATATCACATACCATGCAGTACATTTCTTTGTTTAGAAGCCAGATGTCATACCCAGAACAAAAGAAAAGATCAATGACATGTTTGTCATATCTAATTTTCAGCAGGGCCTTTTGCCAACAACCAGAAGCTGGCATCATGATTTATTAAATTCAATAACACAATTTAGCTCATATTTATAGACATGGATTATGGATATGCGATACTGTATAATGTGATCAAATGATAAGTCTAATAGCTTGGCATAACAAGAAAACTAACAAGTGAGAAACTACAGTTTTTAAACATGGTACTCCCAATTAGAATGCATAAAAAATGCAAAAAGCATGAAATTGGTAACCAACTAATGAGATCACCAAATTATGCATGCTGATGTAGGTCGCTATCAGCCAAAGCAAGAAAAGGGTCACACTAGACAGAAGAATATATTTAGCAGCAGATGCTTTTGTCTGAGTATGTTCAGCTAGAACCATGTTAGACATGTTGAAGATGCAAAAAGACTATTAGAAGGCAACTGAATACCATATCTTGTCTGTTTGAAATCTTTCTGATCCTCTTTTGAAAGTTCTGAGTAATCCTGAGGATATTGAACTTTGCAACTGACCTGTAAGCAACAAAAAATATGACCTGGTTATAAGCTCTTGATGTCATCGAGCAAGCAGGTAGCATGCCAATTATATCCGCTCAGAAAATACATATTGCACTTCCAGAGTTGTTGCAAATATAGAAAGATGAAATTTCCTGAAAATATGGACTATAAAAACCAAAATCTAGTCTTTTGGCTGTATAAATGTAAGTTGGAACCTAATACAACATGAACAAGATCTACTTTAATAACTCACCAAGGATACAAGTGATTCATATGATGAACGGAAAACCTGCACCCGCCTATTTCTCTCCACATCAATTAATGATTCATTACCAAGCGATACATAGGATTCTCTGCAAAATAATAATTATTGTACAAACGATTTGGTTTTATATAGAAAAGAAGTGAGAACTTGTAAAGGACTCACCTCTCGATCAAGCAAATCTGAAGATTGTGCCAGAAGTTAAATGTCATGGAAGCAATATCATATTCTGGATGTGCAGCAACTTCCAGTAGTGCATGAACAATCAACATCGATTCATCTGAACCTGTACTTGATGTTGACATCAGTTAACATAACAGGTCAAAATAAGTAGAATTTTTTTTAATATTTTCTCATTTTCTGTAACCAACATTGTACATTGCAATGACCTAACCAACGGGCAAGTATAATACCAGTTGCAATCAATTCAACATAGGAATCACCCATATCAGCAAATAGTCTTGCAATGGCCTTAACATCTTCCTCATCCTGTAAACAAAAAAAAGTAGAAAATCACTTCCTGAAGATGACAATTTGTTCATGTTCACCCATACCCGTTTAAATAATTTCCTTGGGCAGAAGAGAGAAAGAGAAGGGATATACAACTGAGAAATACTAATAGCAGAATGTTGTGCTGTTTTCTAGATTGCAACAGGAATCACCAATAGCAGCAAAATACAGTGTAGGAAGATGATCTCTAAATCATGATAGTCATGAAAATCAGAAGCATCAATTTACAGCCCCTTGTTTTTTTTAAACATTTGAGAAGCAGCCTTTCACCAGTATTAAAACAGTTGAACCCTTCATGCCACCTAGAAACGTGATGACAAACACTAATATTCTACATGGTGCAGAGTTTTTCTAAAAAAACATGCCTGTCCATATCTCACATTGCTGTCTCTCCCTTTCTCGTAATTTCTTTTCTACCCACATGTGAAACTGTAGTATATTTGAAACAAATAATCAACACAACTTATTGTTCTGAAAGAAATTGAAGAGATACTCGTGAATTCAGGAGTTCCAGGCAGGCGATAGGGGCTTCGGGAGAAATGATGATTGACTTTGCCTACAAGGATTTTGGGGAAGTCTCATTTTGACACTAGCGAGATACCTACTTACGAAAGAAGACGATCTAACCTCAGTGAGCAGACGATTTGCTGCCACATCCTACCATATCCCACTATAATAAGGATTATTATTCTTGGCAATAGTTCCTTAAAGGGCTTCTTTAACATTATAAAACAAATAAGAAAACAGATTTACCAGTTTATTATATGTCAAACCATCATTACTTCATGTGTCTTTTTATTTATATCGTAAAGAAGTAACACACTTCTCGCCAGATCAATCAACATGTATCATATATAAAACTGGAAGGATGTGGCAGGCCAAGAGTTTGGCAATATACTCCTCTTCAGTACCTTCGAAGAATCTCTAAGTTGTGGCTTTAGATTCATAACTTGTGGCACAATAGCTTGAATTAAAGGCATTTGAACTGAAAATCCCTCCAAGTTTCTTGCAGACGTGTAATGTATCAATTCAGAAATTACTGCAAATAGGCAGAATTGAACAATATTACATTAGAAACAACTAACAAGTGCAATGATCAACCAAACGAACACATAAAATTCTTGTCACCATTAGAAAAGGTCTTAATATGTGTCTAATACACAGGATCTGTTTTAAAAATATATGTGAAACAATCGAACACCATAAAAACATTTTTCTGATTTTATAAAGTATCGTGCATTGTTGCTGTTGAAAGACCATGGAAGAATGGGAGTCATAAACCAGTTTGTAAATGCCTATAAGTAGCAACAGCATCCCTGGAGTCACATTAAGATTTCAAAATTAATACATTATATGAAAAGAACAGCAAACAACATATACTGCACTCTGATGCTTATTGCCTTCTTTTATTACCCCGCAGATAGGACACAAATAAACAAACGAGAGAGAGAGAGAGAGACTACAGATAACTATGGCACTGTCTTGCTCTAAGATCAATATGCTCTGACATCAAAAATAAAAATTAGGCCGAAGAGGGAAAACACATAAATTGGAAAGAAATATGCAAATAAACTGCCACCATGTTGTGTATGTATAAACTTAAAATCTTGAAAAATTGTTATTCAGAAACAATGAAATGTCAAAACCATTAAATCTCTCTAACCCAAGATAATTGATGCATGTTCCATTCTGAGGTGTCCCATATTAGTCCTTAGTTTAGGAATCATGATAGAAATTCTCTCTCTCTCTCTCTCTCTCTCTATATATATATATATACACACACACACAGACGCATAGAGGGAGAGAGAATGAAAGACAAATATATCTATGCTATATTATAAAGCATTTGACAAAAACTTTTAAAAACCATTTTTAATGCATGAAGTACTGTATATTGATGCATATTGCTTAAAATTCAAGATTACAAGTAAATTATACATAAATAAAACTTATTAAAGCTCCATGTTTGAATTCATGTAACTAACTGTGAATAAACATAATCAAATAGAGGATAAACATCTCATTTTAAAATATAAAAAATCTAAATATAATTAGGATAATTATTGAGTTTTAACAAAATAATCAATTATTATCTTTATAAAAAAATTATATTATTAAACCAAATATAAATTATTTCGTTATTGAACCTAAATTAAATTATAATAAAAAAAATTAAATTATAATAAAAAAATTGAATTAAAAAATTACACAAAAAATAGGAATTTTAAATAGTTAATTTGATACTAATATCGATATATTTTTGTTAAAAGTTTATAATATCTTCAAATTCATATTTTATTTAAAAATAAAAACATCATCATTTTTTCAAAATCACATAAGACCATATCATAACATCGACTGAGATAAAGAATGAAATGAAATATTAAAATCAAGATGTATCTCGCTGCATTGCGCGAGTACCCTTCTAGTTTTCTCTAATGCAATTAGAGGTGCACACTCAGTCCAAACCGATAAGACCAAACTGATTTTTAAAAACCTGATTTTTGGTTCAAGATTTTTTCAAAATGCGATTCTCGGTTTGGTCCAATTAGAAGTCAGAACCGCACCAGGTTTTTTATTTTTCAAACCTACAACGAAGCCACATTAGATTTGTATTTTTAAAATTAAAACACACCCAATTTACGGTTCAGTCAACCAAAGCAGTTTAGATCAGTTTGGTTTTCAGTTCCATTTTTTTCGGTTACAGCTCGCTCCCCTCCAGTCCGGTTCCAACCCGATGCACATCCTATTGCAATTCCATTCGGTCTTTCAATCTCCTTTCCAATCCTATGCTAGTGTTCTCTAGTGATAGACCTCTTTTGATGTATTGAGCTCCCTACTTTTTTTGAAATGACCAACCCACTTTTCGCCCACAAAATTCCTAAAATTCGAAATGGCAACCCAAATATTAGCTCAAGTTTTCAGAAGTGATTGTTACTGTGGGTGGTTTTAGAGGTTACAGGTCATTACAGCATAAATACGGCTGTTTTCAAATTATCATCTAACATAAGAGTATAAGAACTGAAAAGAGATGTGAAAGAAAAAATATAACTGATCCCAGCAAATAATATATAAATGTCCGTCCTACGTTACCATCCACGGCTGCCTCTGAAAGCTCATCAGACGTTAAGCTAGAGAGAGCTGTTAGCACCAATGGGTGTGTAGCAAGCACAGATGCAGGAAGCCTGTAAGTAACAAATGTCAAGTAAGTTCTGGAGTGATCAACAGATTCAACCAAAAAAATCATGCCGTTTTGATGAGAATTTAGAACACACAATCAGCAGCACGATGCAATTCAGTAAACCACCTCTGAGACACCAAAGATCAAGAACACCAAGAAAATAGGAGATAAGAAAGCATACCTATGTCTTAGTCGAAGCCAAGATGAAAAAGCATCCAGAGCCTGAATTAATTTACAAAAAGGTCACAGAACAAATATGAATAGTGAGAAGAAAATTTTATATCTCATAAGTCAGCAAGAATGCAGAATAAATGTGTTTTTGCCCCTTATATGCAGCAAGAAAATTTTATATCTCATAAGACAGCAAGAACGCAGAATCCACATACATAATACAACAGAGAAAAGGAAGAAGGGAATGATTTCAAGTTATTGTCTATAGATCAGATCATTGTTATCAGGTTGCTGCAGTGGCACAGATAGCTCAATTTTTTAGATTTTGGTTTTATTAAGGTGATCTAACTATTCCAAAATGCCAAAAGTTATTCTATTGAGCAATTCCCCTTTCCATGTACTTCATAAGAGCAGTTTTTCTAAAGTCTCTCTGTTCCTATTTTAGGGACACTTTTCAAGACAGGAGTCTGGTTTCGTTTTCAAGACTCCGTAAGTTTCTTCAGTAGGGTTCTACATTCTGTTTCTACTTTACCACTCTCAGAGGACATTTGTTTTCCTTTTTTTCCTGTATACTAAGAACTGACCAGACGTATCTTGATCATATTAGTTGAAGAGTTTTCAGTTATAAGGATTAAATATTAAAATAAAAATCCAACTAACTAGATAATACTGTAGAGTATCATCAGTGAGCTCTGGCAGGGAGAAAATATAAAAAGTTCAAGAGAGAGACGATTAACAAGCACACCCTTGATTCCACATGAAGAAAAAACTCTGCCTTGACTATGCCACTTGATCTATAAGGTGATTTACTTGCAAAGAATAACAAAGACATAAATGTAAGACCAAGAAATACAAAGTAAAGAAGTTTGATCACAAAAAGTATGTGACAAATCAAGGATGGGTGAGCTTGGTTCAGTAACGGGAAGGGGAATAGGATAGGAAAGAGATTGTTGGCGAACAGTAATGACTGGTGCGCTTGGTTCAGTAATGGGAAGGGGAATAGGATAGAAATGAGATTGTTGGCGAACAGGAATGACTATTCCAATTGCACTGATGATGTTTCGATCAAACAGGTCAAAACTCAATCAAGGTGTATTCAAGGGCTTACAACCTCCTAAATTGCTTTAATCAAAAAATTAAATTATTATTCTAGTAATATCATTTTTGTAACTATAGTTAATACTTAATACGATGACACAGCCAAAATGGCAAACATGTAAGTAAACTTGTTATCTATTTTGCCAATATACACATGTATATAGACAAATACACTCATGCATATGTATATATGTGCATGCACATACATACATACATATATAGACACACATGCATATATAGGCGAAGGATCGTGTGAGAAGGGAAGTTATGGTGAGAAGCGTAAGAAGAGATGTGAACCCTTGATCACTTTCAATTAGGATTGATCCAAGGGTGGAGATCTATTCTTACTCTTCTCACCATAACTTCCCTTCTCACCGGAACCCAACCCTGCATATATATAGGTATATATGTGGGTATGATGCGCACATATATGCATATCTATGGGTATGATGAGCACATATATGCATATCTATGTATATACAATTGCATGTATGCATATATAAGTATCTATATCTATATATTGTACAAATGTATGTACAATTACAAACTAGAACAAAATGGTAAAACATAATAAGTGGTGTATAAAATCGAATCCTAAAAATGAAAAGCTTATTTCTTATCTGAAGGACTAAAAGAGGTTCTTTATGCCAGCACCTCATTCGAACAAGCCAAAAACAAACTCATTCAGCAACCTTATTTTTCTATTCATTGAAAATTCATTGGCAAGACACAAAGAGTAAACAAACTTCAAGGAGAACATGAGGAGAAGAGAAGAAAACTAAGCTGTTCCTTCCACTTCTCTCGTTTCTTCATTAGACTAAAATAGAGATGTCAACTAGTTACTGCATTGATAATTATTCCTTGTTGGTATAACAGCAAGCACTAGCTATCATGACTTTAAGCCCATAAAAGATGAATAATGTGAGTACAAGAGAAAACCACCAGATAAGAAAATCTCACCTGCTCTTTCAGTTCTGGGATGTTTAAGCATGCAGTCAAAATGCCAAGAGCAACATCCATTGTAGAGGCAAGTTCATTTTCAAATTTGCGTCGTCTGTCTGGACGAGCAGCTATCTTGTAATTGAAGATTTCCTGGTTTTGAACATAGTATGTATATACATCAGCAACTCCACAAGCAACACGTACTAAATTAACTGGAAAACAATACGTAGATGTTCGTATCAGCTCTATCTCATGATCTCAGGCACATGAAACCAACATAAGAAAATACAACTTCTAAGTTATGTGCACAATCTAACATTCATAAAAGATTACTTGGAATTCAAATTTTGAAACCAGAGAAAGAATTTGGTGTTATGATTTATGGAGAAGTGAGATAACCAAGATAAAATGAGACCCTCATTATTTTCACCTTCAATCTAAAAGACCGATAGTGATGCTGATTGGTTCAATTATTTTACATGTGGGCTAGAGCTATTGGATCCAACTCCTATTGGAATGTGTTAACTCTTATCTTTTATATTAGTGGAGAAAGGCAACAAGGAAAAAACTTTCTTCTGTGAACAAATAGACAACAGCATGTACCTCTGGTAAGACTCTAAGAAGCTCGAGAAAACTTGGTACAATATCAGGATGTGCATTCATCTCATCTCTGAGCCAATTCATTATGCCACCATCTCCCCAATCTTCAGCAGGGACTTGGACAGCCAATGCAGCAACAGCAAGGCTAATCTATATAACAAGACATCTTAGAACAAAATCCTTTTCATACGGGCAAACTCTGTGCTTGCAAGTCTGCGCACCAGTTCATGTGTTTATCTAAGAAGCAGTAGACAGTACCTGCGTTCTAACTTTTGGTGGGCCCTTGTGAAATGTTTTCAATAAGTTCTGCAGTTAAAACTCCAGCTGTTAAACCCCCAGATTCAGTTAACATAAAGGCTCACTACATAGAATTGTTTCCGCTAGATGAAATTTTGATGACTACGAATATGAAAAAGAAGTCGGATTCAATATCCTACAAAAATGTTAGCCTCTAAAGATAAATCGTTGGTATATGCTAATATGCTATACTACAGTTGCACCTCGCATAATTCAGCAGGAAATGCCAAATTTAACGCAAAGTGTTCTCCAACTATTTCAACGTGCGGCATAAAACCCCTCACCCTAACTCCCCAATAAAAGACTTGTGAATTAAACAAACATAAAAATGGAAGTCGTGATTATCCCATTCCAGTTAAAGAGTTATCTAAAGCATTAACCCAAGCTCCGTAAAAGGTAAAAGTATTTACTAACATTTAATGAATCACGTAATGAACGGAATGCTTCAGAAGGCAATTCTTCAAAATCTCGCTGCACCTATTAACAAAAATAAGAAGCACCATCTATGGATCAATGTAAATAAATAGTTACCATAAAAGTTCAAAGCTATAGCTACACTCTATAATGCCATGCCATAGCAAATGGGTAAAGTTAACTTCAGTGATCATGTAAAAAAGCATACATATTTGAGGATAGCACAGAAGAATACCTGCTTCATTAAAAGGTGAGTGAAGATGAATGAAATTACCTTACTTCTGAGAGTCTGTGAGCAGAAAATTAGAGTCTCTACATTGCTACTAGCATCGTGAAGCAAATTATCAGATACCTAGACAAAATTTAGAAAATGTCAACTTATTTTAATCCAACTTTATCAAACACATTGGAATCAAATAAGAAGAAGTTTCACAAAAACAGCCTTGCCATCCACACCTAATACAAAAACAAATTCCCAGCTTAAGAGAATAATGGATAGTTGAAGGTTTATTCAGGACCAGAAATGAAAAATAGAGAAAGTCATGCATGTCAAGAAGGAAATTCCATTCCAACTTTTTACCAAAAACTAATAGCAGGCACTTGAACAAGAAATAAACATTAACAGAAAACCCAGATCATGAAAAGAAAATTAAACCTTCCAGCAAAACAATATCTCGACACCAATGATCAAACACCATTGGAATTTCTGACCTAGTCTAAAGCTTATTATTCAAACGGTTCTGTTCACTGATTAATGTGCCATTCTTCTATAACATCAATTGTTACATGCTGAAGCCAGATCTAAATTGGTTAGACCCCTGACAGGAGCCCAAAACCACATCTGGAACCACTGCAATTGCTATGATAAGTTAACTGATTGAAACATTTAGAAATATTATTTTCCTTTGTTTACCCATTACATGATTGGAAGATATATCGGGTAAATTTGTGCCTTCTGATATTATATTGAGAATAAATTGTAGTTAGAAACTATAAAGATTCATGTCTTACAAATAAGTTGGGTTTTAGATTTAGTTAGCTAGCACTATTGAAACCCCATCTAGATGATAGCAACAAACATTTAAATGGACAAGCATCTAAGGAAATCAAATCTGCACCCACTAAGTATCTCATTGGGTACAAAATAAAAGCAAGTCTAGAGCAGCGCAAGAGGCCACCCATTAATCGTCAATTTGAAGTATTGGACCCATATCCCAACTGTTAGCCAACCACTTAACATAGTTACTTTGCGTTGCCCCTTTGCCTTTGCAGTAAACAACGCTTGAATTAACTATTGGAATATACTCGCGATAATCAACCACATTCCAGATTACTATTACTCAGCCACGTGCCATCATTGATTTAACTCTGAGACAAAAAATCTAAAGCAGCCTGAATGGAAAATATAACATAAGGTCCCTAAATCACTCTTGCTGTGTATGTGGCTCTACCATAACACAATGTGGCTTAATCATCAATCACTCATCACTAGGCTTATGCACCAAAACCAAGTCTAGTGCTTCACCTTTACAGGTTAGCCAGACTTCTTTTTGGCTAAACAGAAGTTAGACATATTTCTACAAATGTTATGATGAGGAATAATGGAGAAGTATTCAAAATGAAAAAATAAATTTATTAAGTTTGACAGAGGAAGGTATCTGGTTCAAAAAAGATACTGCAGTCAGATAGTTGTAATCTATCCTATCCTTTAGGTGGGGATAGGTTTTCATGACAGGGAGAATTCATTCTTCTTCAGATGGACCAACCCAAACATATGTTATGTTACAATGGCTTAGGATGAGAGAGAGTGGTTGTAGATCGCCATGTCTGACCCCCTCAATCTTTCTATCAAGTCCCTCTATACCCAAAATAGACCATTTCACTCCCTAATTATTTCTAGCATCCTTTTTATTTATTTCATCCTTTTTTCCTTGGCGGTTCAAAAATCGTTATCTTTTCTTTCTCATTAATATGTCTAAACTCAGCTAGTACAATGATAATGATGTCAACACTACAATGGTAGAGAAATACAGTATTAATATAGCATGTTGTATTTGGACCTGGACATACAATTACCCTTCCCAAAAATTCCCCAACTTATTTTTAACAGAAAAACTTATAAGCTATAAGCTTTTGTTTCATGTTAAAAAGCAAAATATACATATCCATTAGACCCTTGTAGTCGACTCCCATGTGAATTTTTGGAATAAATCCATGCAAACACCTGACAATTAGACCATTATTTTCATCAGATCTCCTATGAGATCACTTGCTTCATGATCTTTGATGCTTTCACTGCTTCTAATTGTCATTTCTTGTTCTTGACTTGAAAGGTCTTCTAATCTTTATAATACAAAAGCCTCACTCTTATATAATAATTAACACACAAGCATCATCCACCATTCTACCTCCATTGACCTTATTCATCTAAGAACTCACCTGCCTTCATCCCAATACAATCATCTTCATCATGCATAAGAACAAAGCCTAAAGGAAAAGAGGTATGAACATAAACTTGCATTGCTGGAAAGCAAGATCAAGCCTAGAAATTATAGATAGCCAAGATACTCTAAAATGCATACAAAGTTTATCCACTAACATCTACCAGTATTACATTCATTTCTATGTCAACCACCATCTTCACTAAACTCAACTAACTTCTCTCGCATTCTCATCAGTAAAACCATAGGTGCTGAGAAACTGCTAACCCCCCTTACATGTGTGCCTCAACAAACCCAACCAAGTTCAAGAAACCCCCAAGAAGTATATGCATCCGAAGTGGGTGATGTAATTAAAAGCTCGTTACTGGTTAATAAGAGATAACTAAAGCTTGCAGCTTGTATGTTAAGTTCCTTGTGTAAAAAGAACTTCCAAGTTCTAACACCTATTTCCTTCACACCGTAACATGTATCCCCCATGGCATCTAGACCTAAAATTAAAACCAATTTAGCATAGAGCTTGCAACTTAGAGATTTCCCATTCTATCTTAAATTTGCCAAGTTCTAACAATCCTATTTAGTTACGTTGGATGATTTATCGAGGATCTTTCCCACTTCAAACCTATTCACAATTAAATCAATATAATGGTAGTAATAAAAAGACTTGCAAAATTATTGCACTTCACTCTCGATAGATGACCAAAACCTACATGATTATTTAAAAACAACAACAAAAATTGATGATCCAATGCAATTTACTAGTGGGTGAAAGACTTGAAAATCGAATTGACTATCCACACTATTAAAACATACATGTAGAGATTGAAGTGAAATTCTTGAACTGAATCAGTAGCTAAAACWGACCTGCYAARCATCGATTGTCCGTTGGAAGTTTTGAAGCCATTGATCGGCTTGAGAGCGAACGGCGTCATCTGGGTGATGATAGAGTGCGTTCAATGCTTCTTTGACAATATTCTCGAGCGCCATGAATCGCGAAATCGAGGTTGTAAGAAAATTGAAACCCAGATACAAGATTTAATTGGTGTATCTTAATCGTAATAGCAATAATAAGGAGATGGGTATATGCGTATATAATGTTTATTTTTGTGATGATGCTTTGGAGGTTTTTGGCGCCCGTGTGTAGAGGTTTCAAGGGTTCTTGCGATTTGGGCTGCTGTTGGAAGAAATCAGTAATTATCAGCCGTCTGATAGATCTCATCTGTCTTTCTTTCTTTCTTTGAAAATCGGTCAATCGTCAAGTTCAAATTTTCTTTCGGGTCGGGTCAACCAATCTTTGGTTCAAATCATGTTTGGTTTTATTTTGGGATAATAACTACACCTTTATATATTGCTAAATGTATGTTTATCAAGTATTTTTTTTATACACATCAACATCAAAATCTACTTTTTACATTTTCAATATAAAACTTGATCTGATAATAACATTAAAGAGGTGTAAATAACATTGTTCTCTATTTTCCGTGGGACATAAATTTCATATAAATTTTCGTTCTCATTAATTAAATTTTTTTATATCAACCTTTATTTTCATTTTATTAATTCATTATTGTGATTACTTGTAACCCTCCAAATTCATATTTGCATATATCTACATATTTCATTTAACATGAAATATAAATTTACCTGTTGGTCACAATATATACAAAATACTACACTCAAAAGTACCTACAACATTTTTCCATATACATCAAGTACAAGACCTGTGAACATAACAAGTTCTTAAATACAAATAACAACTTCCAAAAATTCACATAAAGCAATCATAATTCCTTCACATGTTCCCCTTTTTCTTATCTTCTAATTGTGTCCGACCTGTAATGTGCATTTTCAAACACGAAAAAAAAAATGAGGGTTAAACCAGAAGGTCTAGTGAGAAATCTCTTTTGATTGCTATTACAAGGTGAAAATCACAAAAAACATTTTTAGAAAGCCCATATTTATATAGATAACGAATAAACATTATTTTATCAAAACAAACATTTTTTGTCGCATCTCATTGATGAGACAACCTCATCTTTATCACATCAACTCAAGAAGTACCAAAGTTATCGCATTAAACATAAAATATATCAACTTGTCGCATCATATATAGATGCGATATGTCATTCCCTCGCATCACAAGGATGTGATTACCTCACCTTGTCGCATTATACTGATGTGATAATCTCACTTTGACGCATCACACTGATGCGGTAACCCCATTCCTCGCATCATAAGGATGTGATAACTTCTATTTCTCGCATCTCAAGGATGGAAATAAAGCCAACTCTTCGCATCACAAAGATGCGACAACACCATCTCATCGCATCATATAGATGCAATAAATCAAACTCATCGCATCATGAAGATGCGATGACAATTCCACATGATCAAAAATCCATATATACAGAAGATTTTGTCACCTTTATCTCAATATACGTCTTTTCTGATTAAGCCACCATTATCCCAAAATACGTCTCTCTTGATTATGTCACATTTATCCCAGTGTATCGTCTATTCGGATTATGCCACTCTTATCCTATAATACACATCTACTGATTATGCCACCATTATTCCAACTAATTGATAATAACATATCAAAACATAAAATTATGCTAAAAATAGCATATAACATCTTCAAAACCCATGTATGAAACCATACGGTTTCTTCACCAAAAACACATCAAATGATGTTTATGAAGATAAAACGTACCTTGTAAAACACAGAGATGAAGACTGAAACAACAATCAATTATCAGATTTTAATCATAATGATTTTTTTTCTTCCTTTCCTTCTTCGTCTGTTTTCTTCAAACCATAATAGATACACACACTTCTTTCTTTTTCTTCACAAAACCCCAAGTAGCCAAACAAATATCTCAATTAACCTTACTTAAAATATATAAGGCAATAACCGTATGATATTTAAAACAACTTTTCAAAACAATCTCTCAATTTTCACAGTTGATCAAAAACAAACCCAAACTTTATAATCATTAACACCTGATTATCACATTACTTTCCTATTGTATATTTATTATTAATAATAATTTAACCACAAGGATGGTGCCTGATTGGTTTGAGCTTGACTCCAAAGGTCAAAAGTACCAGGAGGAGTTGAATTTCATCCATTTGTATCCAATTTAACCAACATCGCCCACCCCCTGCCCCACGACAAGCATGCTACTATTGTCACTGTCACCACCACCACCACCACCACCACCACACCGTTATTATCGCCGTCACAACTGTCACCCACCCCACTACTGTCGTCGTCACAGCTGTCACTCTCACCCCAATCCTCCCACTCACATGCCACTGTTTTTCTTCGTCACACCCACCCACCCCTCCACTATGGGGTGTAGGTGGGGTGGGACCGAGGGGCGATTCCAATTCTTTTAAAAGATTACATTTTAATTCCTACGAACCAAATGCATGGTCAAATTCCATTCCAATTCTTTCAAAGTCAAATTCCTTCGATGGATTCAAATTTCACTAAATTCCATTTTGTGAACCAAACGCCCCTTAAGGGACGGCTTTTCCAAAAGGTTTAGAGTCATTTGCTCTTTGGATGGAGCCCTCATACAAACGGGTACAATTCAGTAATTCTTATTTTTTATTCTTGAAGAAAAAGCACCCACCTATTTGTCAAAGTCATGCTATGTGAATATCTATATGAGATATTTTAGATGTTTGCTCGGAGGCCAAGTTAGAAGTGTTTCACCTTGTATCTCAAAGAGTTGGTTGCACCTTCTTAAGTAATATTAAGGACTCATAGATCACTTCAAACAAAGTTCAATTGGGTAATGAGTCATTCAATAATGCTGAAATGATTTGTGTTATAATTAATATATAAAAGAAGATGCACGTAAGACATGAGAAAATGAATCCTCCTGTTGATTTATGTAGGAAGAAAATGGAGATTATTTATACATTTAGATAGTTACACTAAGGGTCCCTATAGGTGAATTATGGGCTTCTTTCTATGTGTTCAATTTAGGGGAAAAAATTACAACAGTCATATGCTTCTCTTATTGGGCTCCCAAGTCTTGTTAAGCACGCTCTTGCATTTTGCATGTATAAAGATCTGAGTCCTTTGGGATTTTATTGAATTTGTTGGTTTAATGTTCGATATTAGTTAACTCTTAACCGTATAAAGAATTGCACCCTTTTAGACATTACTTTGTAATACATTCTACCTCTTTTTTTGCTCCTACATCCATCAATTCCCTGAAATTGTTTGTGGGTTTTGTTTTGTACGATTTAGTATCTTGAGTTTTAGAGTTATAATACATAATTTGGTTTTTGAGTTTAGTGATCGAACTCCCAAGTAAGATCTTTTAGTGGCATTCATGTTTTAACTTTGATTAGTAGACTAAGAGCTGCTTTTTTAGTTAGTTACCTTCAATCACTTGCATTTGTTTATGAACTTGTAGTTGTATAGTGATGCTAACAAATTCCCCACCCCAACCCTCTCACTCACATGCCACTATTTCCATCGTCACACCCATTCACCCACCCCTTTAGTGTGGGGTGGGGGTGGGGGTGGGACCGTGGGGAGATTCCAGTTCTTTTAAAAGATTTCATTTCAATTCCTACGAACCAAACACACAGTCATTTCATTATTTAGAATTGTCCATCAAAATGCTATTATGACTTTGATAATTAACTTATGTAGCATACCTGTTTGTCTAGCTCAAATGCTGAAAACCGTCTAGTTTACCATTTTATTGCACCAAAACATGGGTAGATGCTTACACTAAAAAGAAAACTTCTTGGTACAAGTTCAAGGTTTATGGAAAGTGAGACGTCAAAACATTATCAAGTGGTAACAAAGAAGCAAAGAAACTTAAGATTCAGTTTCTCTTTTTCAAAATCAATCAGGTCTTAAAGGTATGATTATTTCAATTCATATGCTTAGTTTTCTAATGTATATGTGTTCTATATGTTACATGTACTCTTCATTTTATGGTTCTTAATATTTGAAATTTTCTTCTTTTATACATTCCCGAATACTTAAACTCCAATGTTGATGCTCAAGCCAACTTAGTCGCTGTTATTACAGGGTCGAACTTCCTTACTTTTCGTTAAACCACTCTACTTCATTTTCTTGTTTCTTTTTCTTAGTGCAAGCAAATGTATAATACTTTGTTCATGAAAATTGTGATATTTGACTTCTCGTTAGTTAAATTCCTTGAATAATGAAGAATCTGATAGAACATGTTTAGCTTGAGGCTGTTTTAAAAAGAAAAATATTGCAATTTTCTTGAGATGTCTTGGAAAGAAAGTTGTTGCAAATTTTGAGGACGGAGTTTTGATATGATAAATTAGTCTTGGTTGCACATCACAAAGTTTTGGTGTATCGCACATACTATTTAGGTATTGTTTGGTTCACAGAATTCAAAGAAATTCAAAGGAATTTGAATGATGAATTTCTTTGTTTGGTTCACATATTGAAATGTATGGAGTTCTTTGAATTCCATAAACTAAGGAATTCATCATTCATTGGCATAAATGAGGGATTTGCATTCCATCTCATTACATCTAATTTAACCAACACTACCTACCCCTCGCCTACCCCTGCCCCTTAAAGGATCAACTACTACTGTCACTG